CGGAGGCGTCTCAGACATCTAGCTATGTTGGTCGATGTGTCCTGGGCCTGGTAGAGCAGGCCGAGGACATCCCTCTGAGAAAGTCGTCCGTGTGCTTGGCTGCTACTGCTGCCCCAAGGGCCCAAGATGCTTCGCTCAGAAGGTGCATAGAATTGTAGGCAGTGGGGCAGCCCTCCATGTAGATGCGACAGCATCGCAGCGTGCTGTTCAGAAGCGGCCGAGAGGCTGGTGCTGTAAGAACTGTGGCAACATTGTTCCTCGCCACCACTGGATCAGGTTCTCGAAATTGATGGGGGCCCTGTAACACGTCAGACTACAGACATCTGAGCTCCCGACCCTGTGACACCTTGAAAATTGCACCGCGTGTGCGCTCTGGAGGCCACGATCCCTTTCAAATTACTTCTCACACACACACACACACACACACACACACATGCTTTGGCGCCGCGGCCCCCGCGCAGCGACGAGGCGTAGAAAGTCAAGAGGCGAGAAAGAAGAGCGGCGGACGCGCGCGGCCGGACCCTCAGGATAAGGAGCAGGGATCCGCCCAAAGAGATTCACCAGGCCATACGCGTACCCAGGTACGGGCAGCGTGGGCGGGAGGAAAGACGAGGACGCAACGGTCCGCCGAGCCGACTGGCCAGTGCAACAGTCGTTACTTGGAGCCAAGACGAGGCAGAGAAGCGCCAGAAAGCCTGGCGAGGATGAGAGCCCGGACGGACCAACGGCGCAGTGCGAGCCAAACTGGCTGGGCGTGGCCAGGACCATCAGCAGGAGGGGGAGGGGAGGAGGAGGACGAGGCGGCGACGGAGGCGGCGAGGAGGAGGAGGAGGAAGAAGAGGCGGAGGAGGAGGAGGCGGAGGAGGAGACGGAGGAGGAGGCGGAGGAGAAGGCGGAGGAGGAAGAAGAGGAGGAGGAGGAGGAGGAGGAGAGAGGAGAGGAGGAGGCGGAGGAGGAGGAGGCGGAGGAGGAGGCGGAGGAGGAGGCGGAGGAGGAGGCGGCGGAGGAGGAGGCGGAGAAGGCGGAGGAGGCAGACGAGGAGGAGGAGGCGGAGGAGGAGGCGGAGGAGGAGGCGGAGGAGGAGGAGGAGGCGGAGGAGGCGGAGGAGGCGGAGGAGGACGCGGAGGAGGCGGAGGCGAGGAGGAGGAGGCGGAGGAGGAGGAGGAGGAGGCGGAGGAGGAGGCGGAGGAGGAGGCGGCGGCGCACGCAGCGAAGCACGGCGCAGCAACGGGCGCGCGGGCGAGGGCGAGGGGGCGAGCCACGGCGGAAGGCGTGCGGCGCCAGCGGGGCCGCAAGCAAGGAGGGAGGGGCCCGCGGGGCAACGATAGGGGGGGACTGGTACAAGGGGGGATACATCGCCGCTACATCGGCGATAGGCCCTCGATGGTGAGTCCGCACCTTCCTGGGCAGATCGGGGCTGTCGGATCCCTATCGGCGATCCATGGGCGATTGGGGGTCGATGCATCCCCCCCTTTGCCTACCCCTCCCATCGTTGCCCCGGGGCAGGGAGAGGGGCCGCGGAGCAGAGGCGCAGAGGCCCTGAGCTGTGAACCGGAGTGAGGGCATTTGTTTGTTCCCGGCGGGGACCGTCGAGGAGCATCCAAGATCATCGAGCAGAAAAGCACATGCACGACAACGACCCGTGCACGGGAAACGGACGTCCGAGCGATGGCGTGTTCGTGGGTTGGTGCGGCGCGGGGGCCCCACGACACCGCGGTGGCAAGGGCCTTGGGGCTGCACCAAGGGGGTGGCAAGCGCGGAGGGTGGACCACGTCCGCACCATTATGTGGCAACTCGTGGGAGTCTCCCATACCACCTTGCTGGCTCTTGCAAATCGACGCTAATCGACGCTGAATCTACGCTGATCGACGTTGATCGAGGTTTAATCGGCGCGATCTCATCGATTGCCAGACGCTACACGACACCAGTGCGCCTTAAAGACAGAATTACGAGGGTACACAAGGCTCCCATGTTTTGCTACCGAACGCAACATCAGCCAGCCCAGGCATCGCCGCCCCTCCCAGGTGTTGAGGGCTGGGGGCAGCGACGTGGGCAGCACCCGGAGGAGGGGCAGCAGGGAGTGCGCATGAGGGGTCCCCGCGTCCCACCCCAAGGTTGGAAGCCTCCTCGGGCGGGATCAGGTGCACGACAGCTGAGATGCGGCGTGGGCCCTCCGGGGGGGGAGGGCCGGGGGAGCGCCCGCGGCAGGTGTCCCTCGGGCAGCCGGGGCACCCGTGGCCGAGGGAGGGGAGCCCTCCCGCTCGACCAGCGCGGCGGCCTGCAAGGGCAGCCCACGTGTGCGGGCGGGGCGCGCGGCTCGCGGAGGATCCCGAGAGTTATGCTGTTCCCATCGTGCTCAAGGACCACATCCCAGAACTAATTTCGAGCACACAGAGAAGTATCAAAAGAGTGTCTGCCCGACACGCTGGCGAAGTGCCGAACGAGCATCGCCTTCCAGGGCCCGACACGTGAAAACCCTCCAGACTCGATACTCTCTTTCGAAATGCAGTATGGTGATCATGGCTAAAGTAGGCTGGAACGTCAGAAGCCGAGGGGCGAGGCGTTTCTGGTCCCCCTTGCCCCCGCGCACCACGGCGTGGACACGCCCGTGCACGCGAGCTGCGCGGCGGTGCAGGAGGTTTGGGGGCCACCGTGTCGGCCGCCCCCAGAGTGGGCTCGTGCAGGTGGTGGCAATCGCGCCACAGCTTGCTGACCTCGACCATCGTTCGAGTCGGAAATCGACTACAGAATTGACTTAGCCCAAAACTAAAATTCTAGTCGAAACTACGAACGAATACGTAGAGTGGTCGTAGGTCTACGAACTTTAAACATGTACTTCGTAGGTTCGACGCAAGTTACAAATTTGCAGTAAATCAAATCTGCAGTCGATCCCATGCTCGAATAGTGGGGGCCCCCGATCAAGCATGGCGAGGCCCTGGCGAATGGCCTCCTCGGGCGAGGGAGCTCAGAAGCGAGGGCGCGTGGCTTCGCAGCCGCGGGGGCGCCCTCCGAGTCGCTGATGCCGTCGCGGGGCGCGGGCGGAAGCAGTGTTGAGCGGGCGATGGCGGGATGTGGCGAGCACCAATCGGGAACCCGACGCCTGCAGGCTGCAGGGGACCCAAGGCGGCGGGGGAAGGGGCGACACTCACACACGACCTCACGCACAAACACACAAACACACACGCACACACGCACACACACACACACAGACACACACACACACACACACACACACACACACACACACACACACACACACACACACACACACACACACACACACACACACACACACACACACACACACACACACACACACACACACACACACACACACACACACACACACACACACACACACACACACACACACACACACACACACACACACACACACGCACACACACACACGCACACACACACACACACACACACAACACACACACACACACACACACACACACACACACATACACACACACACACACACACACACACACCACACACACACAAACACAGCACACACACACACACACACACACGCACAACACACACGCACACGCACACACGCACACGCACACGCACACATGCACACACGCACACACGCACACACGCACACACACACACGCACGCAACACACACCACACACACACACACACACACACACCACACACACACCAACACGCACACACACACACACACACAAACACACACGCACACGACCACACACGCACACGCACACGCACACACGCACACGCACAAACGCACACACTCACACACACACACACACACACACACACACACCACACACACACACACACACACACACACACACACACACACGCGCGCGGCGCACACGCACACGCACGCACACGCACACACACACGCACGCACACGCACACGCGCACACGCACACACGCACACACACACACACACACACACAAACACACAAACACACACGCACGCACGCACGCACGCACGCACACACGCACACGCACACACGCGCGCTCCCGATGCCACAATCCCTGCGCGCTCCTGAAGCCACACATCGCAAATTACAACACAGGGGCGCTCACGAGGCCACTATCGCTAGTCGCTAGTAAAGTACGACACATACGCGCAACCAGTCAACGCGCAACCAGCCACAAACCAGGTGCAAACCATACATCTAGAAAGCCAACCAAATTGCCAGCCTGTCAACTGACAAGCCAACACACCAACCGTTTGAACAAGCACAGCCACGCAAGCGCGCAGAGACGTACCTCGGGAAATGGCACCACCCCTCCTCAAGCTCCCTGCGGGCTTCTCGAAGCTCCGCTCGATCGACGAGCAGCCTCCCCGCTCGGCTGCACTGGCAGACCCACCCCGTCATCAGGAGGGGCAGGGCAGGTGCGTGCTGGCCATGCCTCGCACGCTGCCCGTCCCGTCCGGAAGAAAGGCCGCCCGTGTTCTTCCGGCCGCCAGGTCGCCCGCAGCCATCCTTGACTGTACCCCGAGTGACTCGCTTGTCATGCGCGCGGCCTCCGCTTGTGGGGGTCTTCTTATTCGGCGTTGCGGCAGGAGGAGGAGGAGGAGGAGGAGGAGGAGAAGGCCGAGGAGGGCGAGGTGGGCGACCGCCCGTCGAAGGCTGATGATTTGGGCACTGGGGCACGCTCGGTCGGTGGACGGCGGAGACCACCTTTTCACAAAATGTTGCACGGCTTCCGCTGCTAGTTGCACCCAGAAACGATGGCAATGCTGCTGCATCGGGCTAGTCTGCCTCCTTCTCCTCCCCTCTTCTCCCTCCGCCCGCCTGGGCCTCATCATCATCATCGTCCTCCTATCCTCCTGCTACTTCTCCCCCGACTACTCCTGGGAAGGGGAGAGGTGAAGCCGAAAGGCAAGGGCAAGCGGCAGGAGAAGTGGGAGACGGAACGTGAAGGGAAGAACAGTGAAATTGAAGAAAAGTGAAATCGTATGAGGAGACTTCCCACTCAAGATTACACGCGGGCCAGACAAGTAGAGAGTACGCCTTGCCCTAGAAGGCAAGACAAATGCCACCACTGCAAAGCCTTCTGCGAAAAGCTGACGCCATCACCCTCCTGATCATCATCATCCTGCTTCTGCCGCTGCCCCCTCTTCCTCTCCATCCCCATGCCCTCTTGACAATCAAAGAGTTAGCGATCACAGCGTCGCGGCTGGCTTGCGAAAGACTGAACTGATGGCAGGACAAAGCCTCAACAGCAGAAAACGAGAGGAGCTCCTTCGAAATTGCATATCTGTCCATGCAGTTGACGCTGCGCATCGGATGCATCGATGGCCTGACCGATGCAAGCCGATATGTAGGCAACAAAGCTTGAAGTCAAACGCGGAACTTGGATTGATAACCACTAATGCGCCACCCGCAGAATGCATGGACTCGAGACGACGCTCGCCGAGGGTATTGGACCGAAGCTGGAGATCCTCCTCCTCCTCCTCCTCCTCCTGCTCCTGGTCCTCCTCCTCCTCCTCCTCGTCCTCCTCCTCCTCCTCCTCCTCCTCCTCCTCCTGCTCCTGCCCCACTCCTCTTCCTTATAAATCCGCCGATCCGGCGTGTGAGTTTCAAGGAGTCTCAGCTACAGCCTCGAGGCTGAGCCTCAGCCTCTGGGGGGGGTGCTGGGGTGGCTCTGCCGGGGAAGGGGGGGTGGGGGGGGGGTGCGAGTTTCCGGCGGATGCGTTTTTTGACACCCCTCACAAGGATCGTGGCCTCCGAGGGGGTTCCGAACTCGAGTACCACCCCTCCCGCACCAAGAGGCTCCGAGGAGGCCTCCAAGAGGCCCCTAGGGGCGCAGAAGAGGCCCCAAAGAAGCCCCAAGAGGCTCCCAAGAGACCCCCAAGAGGCCCTCCAGTGGCCCCAAGAGGCCCAAGAGGCCCCCAAGAAGCCCCAAGAGGCGCCCAAGAGGCCCCCAGAAGTCCCAGCCAACCACGAGATCCCAACCAGCATCCATGAGGCCTCTGACCCACCACCCACGCACGATGGCGGGATAGGCCGACGGCCACTGGATAAATGCTGAGTGAGAGGAGGGGAGGGAAAAAGAGAGGAGGGACGAGGGCGAAGAAGGATCACATCAGTCGGAGCGCCCCGGATCGGCGGCACAGGCCGAAGGCCACTACAATAACTCCTCCCCATCGCACCCCGAGGCTGGTCGAAAGGGCGGGCTGGGCGTTTCGCCTGAGACTTCCTCCGTATATGTGACCCTGAAGCTTAAATATTGGCAACAATTCACAAATGGAGGGCGGGTGGTCTTCAAAATATGGCTCTCGCCTAAGCTCCGCGCACATTCGTCTTAAAACAAATGCAGCTAGAGTTTCTCGGACTGAGGGCGGGTGGTTTTCAATATGTGGCTCTCGTCTGAGCGCCGCGCACATTCGTCTTACAAATTTGCAGCAAGAGTCTCACGGACTGAGGGCGGGTGGTTTTCAAAATGTGGCTCTCGCTTGAGCGCTGCGCTTTCGTTTTGAAAGTGTAGAAGAGCTTCACGGATGGAGGGCGGTTCGTTTTCAGATTGCGGCTCCCGCCTGAGCGCCGCACATGCGTTTTACAAATACCAGAGCTTCAACATACCAGACATGGTGCTTTGGAAACACTCAGGGGTGTAAGGGCACCGCCGTTACGTTGACTCGCGGTGTTGAAGTCCCAGGAATGGTGTTCTGGCACGCTTCAGGATTACAAAGACGCGACATTCAGGTTGATCCGTGGCGTTGGAGTCCCGATAATAGTGCACGTACATGATTCAGGGCCTTCACCAACGAGGTAGTTCCCTCAGCGGAAATGAACCCTTGTATGGGGCCTATGAAGAGGGAGCATGGAGGGAGGGTTGATTCCAACATCGTTGATGAGTAGTGGGTTTAGACTGGTCCTCCTCGTCCTCCTCATCCTCATCATCATCATCAGCAGCAGCATCATCAGCATCATCAACAACATCGTCAGCAGTATCAGAATCAGCATCGTCATCATCATCATCAGCAGCAGCAGCGGCATCAACATCCGAATCAACATCGTCATCATTAATATCAGCTGACGTTATGGACTAGAGGATGTTCGTTCCGATTGAGGAAGACCAGGTGGAAAGAAGTAAATATCCGGGTGCACAGAGGACAAATGGGAGTAGGGTAACCCACGAGAAGGCAGGGGGGGACGAGGAGGGAGGGGGCGAGAACGATGGGGGGAAGCAGAAGGAAAAAGATAGGAGGGGAGGACGAGGAGGCGAAGGAAAATGAGCAGGAGGATGGAGAGGAGGAGAGGGAAGGAGGGGGGGGAAGGGGAGAATCAAGCTAGGTGCGCTCGCGTCATATCTGACGTCCTACCCCACCCACCCATCCCTTACCAAGGCGCTGATTTTTTATATCCGCGGACGCGTGTCGTAGCGGACCTGTGGTTCCGCGCGCGCGTGCGTAGTGGGTGGTGGTGCGCGTGCGTGCGTGCGTGCGTGTGTGTGTGTGGTTGTGGTGTGTGGTGGTGGTGGTGGTGGTGTGGTGGTGGTGGTGGTGGTGGTGGTGGTGGTGGTGGTGGTGGTGGTGGTGGTGGTGGTGGTGGTGTGGTGGTAGTGGTGGTGGTGGTGGTGGTGGTGGTGGGTGGTGGTGGTGGTGTGTGGTGGTGGTGGTGTGGTGGTGGTGGTGGTGGTGCTGGTGGTGGTGGTACTGGTGCTGGTGGTGGTGGTGGTGGTGGTGGTGGTGGTGGTGGTGGTGGTGGTGGTGGTGGTGGTGGTGGTGGTGGTGGCGGTGCGGCGCGGTGGTGGCGGGCGGATGGGCGCGCGAGAAAAAGGCCCGCGCTGGGGCGAGAACGCCATCCTGAACGACGGAGGCCAAACACCGATCCGAAAATGAGGCCCACGCTGCAGCGGGAGCACGATTCGGAACGATTCAGGAGCAGAAATGAGGCCGGCGCCTCAACGAGAGCAGCATTTTGGGAAAAATGACGCCGGCGCCTCAGCGAGAGTGGTTTCCCGGGATTTCCCGGGCATCCTGTGTGTAAAAAAACAGTACGCGGAGGGTGCGCGGCCATCACCCGGACGCCATCAGGGGAAGGATTCGGGAGCAGAAATGAGGCCAGAGCCTCAACGAGAGCAGCATGTTGGGAAAAAATGACGCCGGCGCCTCAGCGAGAGTCGTTTCCCGGGATTTCCCCGGCATCCTGTGTAAAAAAACAATACGCGGAGGGTGCGCAGCCATCACCCGGACGCCATCAGGGGAAGAAAATGACGCCGGCGCCTCAGCGAGAGTCGTTTCCCGGGATTTCCCGGGCATCCTGTGTAAAAAAACAATACGCGGAGGGTGCGCGGCCATCACCCGGACGCCATCAGGGGAAGAAGGGGGACGAATTACGAGTGACAAGCAGGAGGGAGAGTGGTGGGGGAGCGGTGGCAGGAGGGACAATGGAGGGCGTAATAACAGCAGAAGCAGGAGGAGGCAGGAGCACAACGAGGGAGACGGAGAGGAGAGGAACAGAAAAGATGACAAGTGGCAGAGGATTATCAGGATGGGGACTGGGAGGAGAACGAGCAGGAAGATGAGTAGAAAGGAGATAGGACGAGATGAAAAGAGAAAAAACGGAGAGGAAGAGAGTCGAGAAGACGAGGGAGAGGGGGAGCGAGAGGAAGAACCAGGGGGGGCAAGAGGCAGAGATGCGCACGAGGACAAAAAAGACGAGGGGAGAGGGGGGGAGGAAGGAAGGAATAACAGCGGCAGGAAGGCAGGAGCAGGAGAGAGAGCGGGGAGGAGGCCAGAGGAGGAAGAGGTGAGAAAGGATGAAAAATAACAGCAGCAGGATACTTCGGATTTCACCATAAAAGGGGGCTAGTCTGATTTGGGAGGGAATCTGACTTGAGATGCCTTGGAGAGTTCACAAGGGTCTGGGCAAAAGGCCACCATTTCATGGCTTGTTGTGGGGGCTCTAAAATTACCCGTCTGGCAGGGTTGTGACCCCCTCCCTGTCATTACGAAATCTGTCGTAAGAACGATGAGGACGATAAGGGGGAGGAGGAGGAGGGGGAGGACGAGGACGAGGAGAAGATCTGGGCAGCCCAGCTTCGGCCACACAAGACAGGGTGTGCTGGCAGGCAATGGGGTGCGGGCCTCTGCGAAGGTCACAACACCAACCTCTCGTGCGCCTTCGCGATTCACCTCGGGCGCGCCCCTCCTCCATCTCCTCCCGGTCCTCCTCCTCCAGACGCCTTCCTCTCAGCGTTTTCTCCGTTCCCTCTCCTATAAACAGCTCCTCCCTGTCGCACCCCGAGGCTGGTCGAGAGGGCGGGCCGGTCGAACTGGTGGCCCTCCACTTGTGACCCTGAAGCTCAAAGATTGATAACAGTTTCACAACAGGTATTGTACCGAAGATGGAGCTCCTCCTCCTCCTCCTGCTCCTGGTACTCCTCCTCCTCCTCCTCATCCTCCTCCTGCTCCTGCCCCACTCCTTTTCCTTAAAAATGACTCCTCCCTGTCGCACCCCGAGGCTGGTTCGAAAAGGCGGGCCGGGCGTTTCGCCTGAGACTTCCTCCGTATCTGTGACCCTTAAGCTTAGGCATTGACAACAGTTTCACGGATGGAGGGCGGGTGGTTTTCAAAATGTGGCTCTCGCCTGAGCGCCGCGCACATTCGTTTTGAAAAATGCAAGAGTTTCACGGATGGAGGCCGGGTGGTCTTCAAAATGTGGCTCTCGCCTGAGCGCCGCGCACATGCGTCTTAAAAATTTGCAGCAGCTTCACGGATGGAGGGCGAGTGGTTTTCAAAATGTGGCTCTCGCCTTGGCGCCGCGCACATTCGTTTTGAACAAAACTTGCAAGAGTTTCACGGATTGAGGGCGGGTGGTTTTCAAAATGAGGCTCTCGCCTCAGAGCCGCGCACACTCGCTTTAAAAGCGTGCAAGAGTTTCACGAATCGAGGGCGGCTCCTTTTCAAAATGTGGCTGTCGCCTTAGCGCCGCGCACATGTGTATTTAAGCATTGAAAGGGTTTCATTGGCTCTCATGGTTAACGTACCAAAAACTATGTTTTAAAACGAATCAGGATTGTCAGGATCGCAGCAATTACGTTTATTCGCGGCGTTGAAGTCCCAGGGATGGTGTTCTGGCACGAGTCAGGATCGTCAAGACGCAACAATCAAATTGATTCGAGGCGTTGAAGTCCCGAGAATGGTGTTTTGGCACGCCTTCATACGGCTCTCCCAAATGGACACTCCCCTCAAAGGAAATGAACCCTTGTATGGGGCCTATGCAGAGGGAGCTTGGGGGAGGGTTTATTCCAACATAGTTTGTCAGTCTTGGGTCTACACTGGTACTCCTCCTCTTCCGCCATTCTGCTTTAGGGACGCATTGTTCGGTCGATCCTGGACTTCGCGGGGGGGGCATAAACTCCGCAGGGTGCCCTCCTCCTTCTCCGCCTCTTCTGCTTCCACAGTCACCTCTTACGCTCCTCATCCGTAAATTAGAACTGCGCTCCGATGGTCCCTCCGAACGGACCCCTGGTTCCACCCGTCGAACGCATGAGGGCGACACGCCCCTTGCAACAAGAACGTTTTGCCGTCAACCCTGCAACATGCGCGGCAGGAACGGGACGCGGCGAGCATCGCGCGAGAGAGCAAATCGACGCTCTCGCCTGAGCGCTGCGCCGATTATCCCTGAGAAGCTTGCGCTCACAAGTCGGCGTGGTGAACGATAGTGTTCGGTTGCCAACGCGTCGGAAGCGGGGCCACGCCCGAGAAGCGCAATGCCGGTCTCACCCAAGCGACGCGAAGATTTTACTGCACGTTACGCTCCCGCCTTCGGCGGGGCGCATCTGCTTGTTTCGCCAAGGCATCGGAAGCGGGGCCGTGCAAAGGGGCGGAGAAGACGCTGCCCCCCCCCCCCAGCACCCGTGGACCAGCACTCTCACCAGAAGCTGCGTCCCCGGCTGGCGCGGCGACCGCCTGCACCCCCAAAAGAGGGCGGACAATGGCCGAGCGCGGACTGAAAAAATGTTGTACGCATTCACCTCAGGACTCGGACTCTTCCGCAGGTTGTGTTCGGGTGTTCTTCCTGCGACGGGGTCGTCGGAGGCTGGACGACGTCCGCGAGCGAACGCCTCACATGTTGTCAGGCGGGAGTGCACGCCAGCCCCAAATTCCATCGGTGCCGATGCTGATTCGCATGCGCTGGGCCCGCTGACTTGTTCGACCTGGCAAGCCTGACTCCTGCTCGTATCTTCTCCTCCTCCTCCTCCTCCTCCTGCTCCTCCTCCTCCTCCTCCTCCTCCTCCTCCTCCTCCCCGCCCTCCTCCTCCTTATCGTCCTCCTCGTCCTCCTCGTGCTCCTCCTCCTCCTCCTGCTCCTCCTCCTCCTCCTCCGCCCCCTCCGCCTCCTCCTCCTCAGCCTCCCCCAGATTCCCATCCTCCCCATCTTCACCATCGTCCCCGATCTTCCACATCCTGCACCACAACCATCTCATCCCACTCTTCATCCACATTCTCCTGCTCGTGGTCCTGCTACTGATCCTCCTCCTTCTCCTCCTCCTCCTTTTCCTACTCCTTCTACTCATCATGCCCCTCTCCTCTTCCCTAACCCTCGTCCCCACGTTTTCCTCCTCATTCCCGCCTCCCGTCCCTCCCTCCCTCCTCCCTACATCTTCCTTCGTCTTCATCCTTTGCATCCGTCCCGGCCAACGCACTCGTCACAGAGCTGGAATGGTGAACCGCGCTACCGAAAATGACTCTGGCGGTGTCCTGCGAGCGTGGCCGACATTCGAACCCCAGACGCAGGCAGAGGGGCGGGTGGGAACGAGAGAGGAGGGAGGCGCCAGGGAAAGGGAAGGAGGGGAGGAGGGAGGAAACTCGTGGCCTGTAGCGCAGCTCACAGAATCTCAAAAATTGTGTCGCGTGTGCAAAGACGAGGAGAAGGAGAAGGTGCACTTCAAGGTTCTCGCGCTGGCCTCTTGCGCCCGATCCAGCGTGGCGAATTTCGCGCATTGCCATTCCGCGTCCGCATCGTCCTCGACCGCCTTCCGATCTTCCTCCTCGCTGCCCTCCTCCCCCGCCCTCCCCATAGAGGGGGTGGTCCCGCCCATTCAAGAGCTCTCGCGCAGGCGTTCGGAAGCAGTCGCCCCTGGCCTGTGCCGCCCTTCCAGCGCTACCCGCCTCTTTCTTCGCGTCTCAAATGCGCCCACTCCCCCTGCCGCATCCCCTCCCTTTCCAGCTGACGGCGTCGGAGCGCGCATACAGTAGGGGCCCGACCACAAGAAACCTTCCACAAGAAACCCAACCTTGTGACCCCAGGACGTCCATTCATGTTTGGAGTGGGAACGTCACGCTTTCCACAGCGAAACCATCGAAACTCAAGAAAGCCAGGGCACCGTGGGGGCAAGCAGGATGTTTCTTGGCATGGGTTTCCACTGTAGTTCCTCATGTGAACTGCTGTGGGAAGTCTGGGACCCTCTCTTCCTGCCCGCTGTCTCTCGGCATCGAGAACAGCTCGGCATGGCCTCTTTCTTCGTTCTGGGGGTCATCTCCCTCTCCTTCGGCACTGTCAGGGCTAGGCCCCGGAAGATTTAACAGCCAGCCTTTGGATGTGGGGGGGGCCCAGCCATCTACAAGCAGAACCTGTCGGCTAGGGGTAGAATTACCGCATCTTGGCACAGGCACAGGCGGGGCTGACATTCTGAGCAGGCGGCGGGGCTTCTCGGAAACCCTGGCGCATTCTGAGAAGCCGCATGTGGCCCCAGAGAATGGTTAGATAAGGATTATTGGAGTCGAAGGCGGAGGCGGGGGGTCAGGGTTCCCAGTGGGCGGCTAGGTCGAATCAGACCAACCACCAACCCAAACGGTGCACCTCATTGGGCTCGTGTGCGACGGCACGCCAGCCGAGACAGACGACGACGCGTGGCAGCGGGGGAACCGCTGGACGAGGGGGGCGAGGGGACGAGGGAGGGGGAGGAGGAGGACGACGAGGAGGAAAAAAGGAGAGGACGAGGGGGAGGACGAGGAGGAGGAGGAGGAGGAGGAGGAGGAGGAGGAGGAGGGGGAGAAAAAAAGGAAGAAAAAAGTGGAGGACAAAAGAAGAGGAGGAAAGAGGAGGAGGAAAGAGGAGGAGGAGGAGGACGAGGTAGCAGCAGCGTCTGCGGCAGCACGGCGCGGGCCCGCCCCCCGAGGAGCGAGCGGGGCCTGCACGGACTGGAGGGCCCCCCACCGCTGGAAGGTCTCCCGCAGATCGGCCTGCTGCGGACCGCGCACGGGGGGGGGACTTGGAGCAGACCTGAGATCCTGGCAGGGGGGTCTGTTTTTCACAACGGGCGTGTTCTCTGGGTTTGGGGCCCTGGGGCCATCACAGAGCAATTGATTCGTTTTGGTTCGCTTGTGGTTGGGAGAACTCCTATGTTGATGTCGTTCTGTCTACCCGCTCCCCGTGACGATGACGGTCAGGAGGGAAACGGTAGAGGGAAACAATAAGTGAACACCCCCCTGCCCCCCAAGCTCAAAGTTGGCACGCGTGGGGGAGACTACGGTCGAGGTGCAACTCATCAGACCCACCGCCAACTTTGAACATTGGGGGGAGGGGGAGGCGTTCACAGATGAATGTGGCATGAGTGTTCGCTATCTTTTTGCGAGGCCTGAATGACGGCGGCGGGAGGAGACGGTGACCCTGGAGTGTGTGCAGGAGGTAGTGATCCTTGGTGCGTTGATTGACAACAAGATGAACACGCATCGTGATATACTTGATCGGGTGAGACTTGGTGAGAAGGCGTTCTGGACTGATCTGGCCCGAAGACTGCCGCAGGGCTCTAGGTGAGTGCGCTACGATGTTGCAATGGTTCGTGTCGTCAGACCTCACGGGCGGATTGGCACCAACATTAATAGCAGTGGTGTTCCTCCACCAAGGGAAGATGATCCCGACCTCGGTGATGCCAAGGCCACGCTAACGGCGGTTTTTCGTTACGGTGATGTTGGAAACCGAACTGCAGGAAATCACGAACCACGCTTTCCTAAATTTCCGATCTGCGGATGTATCGAACGAAAACGACACATCGAAGTGTAGGAGAGCACGAGCCGCGCGTTCCCACAAAACCGAGACCTGCATCGCCGTTACCTGCATTACCGTTGGCGCGTCTACGCTGAAGGTGGTAATACTCGGGCTTCCTGGGTGGCCGCAAGAGTACCACCAGCACCAAAATCTAGGATAATGTTCCACCGGCGGAGGCACGTGTTGATGCCCATTGCCAGGCCTTCAAGGGGGGAGCATTAGAGGAAGATCGACTCAGGAGGGGGTGGGGGTGGGGGGGAACATCGACCTGGAATCGCCCATACATCGCCGATGCATGGGCCATGGGCCCCGATGGCGAAGCCGCACGTTCCTGGGCGGAGGTGGGCTACCGAGCCCGTCTGCGATGAACGGGCGATTGGGGGGGGGGCGATGCATTCCCCCGTGAGCCTCTCCCCCCCGACGTTGCCCCCCCTGACTCCTTCTCCACTCGCATGTCGCCATCTCGGCCCTGGCAATCGGCACGCACGGGCGCGAGGGCCCTCTGCCCGGGGAGGAGAACCTCGCCGCCATCGTCCCCGTCCCCGCGGGCTCTGGGACGGGCCGAGCTCCAGTGGAGGACGACGACGACGACGGCGACGAGGACGACGACGGCCCTGTCCCCCCCCCCTCCACTGGGGAGGAGGCCGACGACGGCGAGGAGGGCGAAGGCGAGAGGGCATGTGCAGAAGCCGGAGCAGGCTCGGCGGGAGCGCAGACGGGAGGAACGGGAACGCCAAGGTGGCGACGAGGACAAAGGGCGAGGACGCGCAGGAGGAGCTGCAGCAACGAGGCGGGTCGAGGAGGGAGTGGGGGAGGAGAGGGGGAGGAAGGCAGACACCAGCTGGAGGCCATGGAAGCCCCGTCGTTAGCGGTTACAGTCAACCCGTACAAGAGGGACGCACGATAAGGATTCAAGGGCCTTGGAAGGCCATGTCGACACTTTACAGGCGGGGCGCGACCAGCGAAAGCGGCCAAGGATGGGCCGAAGGGGAGGGATGC